ATTATTATTATTATTATTATTATTATTATTATTATTATTATTATTATATCTATTATTATTATTATATTAAGCGGCTACTTACAAAAACCAATTTACTGAATGTCGTAGTAGGTATATCATTAAAAAGTCAAATCAATTGCAAAGAAGATTGTTTTAAAGCAAAGAGAAGTAAAATTATAAAAAGAAACAAAAAAAAAATATTTTACCTAGTAAAAGATCTTCGTTAGATTTAGGAGAACTAAGCTGCGACGCGGGCACCAATAAGTTTCCTTTGTCTTTATCTAGCTCTGGAACCGGAAAAACAAATGTACGTTGAAAGGAACAGAGAAATCAGATTATAATTGCATGTATCAATATCGTCATTGCTTATGCTTGACTTTTTGGGTTATTTTTGTAACATCAACTTCAATGCCTGGCTGTAAACTACAACTTCGTCCCTCAAATTTTGGCGACGTCGTCATGCGTCATCGGATGTTATAAAACCATATTTTAAAATAATAAAATACAAAGACGGAGACGACATATCCGTCACGTGCAGCGTTTAACTTTCTACTGAAATATAAAATTCAAACTTTGGAACTTTCTGTACTAAGGGTCGTATTCTAGAACTCTACTCAATGCTCAAGTCAGGATTGCACTGGAAACGCAAGCACTGGAAATACGACCCTAATGTCAAGGACTTGAGTATGATTTTCAGTGTTCACTGCAATACTCAAGTCCCGACTTGAGCATTGAGTAGAGTCCTGGAATACGAGCCTTAGAGTCCCAAAGTTATGATAATTTTCGAAGTACTACAAGTCAGCTTCGTAAATTGGTCCAAATCGAAACTTGAACCTCTTTATTGAAACATCCAACATGCTCGGGTCAAAGAGATTCATGTTACAAAATCTTATGAATTGACTTACGGTTGTAAAGCGACTTCAAGGCGCTGTCCATTTCGGTGTCACCAATAAACTTGGACTTGGCTGGGCACTCCCGCACGCCCCGGCACAACCAGTTACCTTGTGCGTTGCATGTGCAGCGCGTGCAGCCGGAGCACTGGTTTGCTAGAGACCAGGATTTAATTAAGCAAGTTTAGTGTTTAGACGTGTTTATTGTCAAACGGAATATGGCCCACATAATATAAAGATATATAGTCGGACCCACATACAGACTATATATTTTCCAAACAATATTACTGTTACGCATAAATATCGACACGACTAACAGCACAAGGCATCACTCCATCTGCTGGACAGATTTACCTATGACTTGAAAACAGGGTTCACACTTTGAGCTTCAGTATTGTACTAGATTTGAATTTAATGATATGATACAGGCTATCTACGAATCAAAAACAAGTTTGAACGTGTCGGCGGCCACGTTCCACCACGATGCGCGTGTCGGAGAATACCTACCTACCAGATCAGTATATAAAAGTTTGGAACGGTTTGTTGTCTGCGCATAAATTTGGATTTATAATGACTTGGTGATTTCGTCGAAGGCGACAGCCGACTCGGTGAAGACACGTATTCCACGAACAAGTTAATCACAAACGAAATTGACGTCGGACAACGTTTTATAGTCTAATTATTATAAGCCTCTAAAGTTTTAGCACCGATTCTATAGACAACACATATTTCTAAAATCTACCGATTAAGAGGAAAAGCTATAGCAGTTGCAGAATCGTGTAGATACTGGCGTTTTCCCGTGAAAAACGATATTTCCACACATTTACCGTAATTCAAGTTCTAGCACATGATCCTATGCGAAAACGAAGAGTGTACTGAAATTAAATTACGATTATAAAAAATATTAAATTGTTGTTAAATTTCATGGAACCTAACTATGAAGATTAAGGACAAAATGTTAATCAAATATAAAATGTATTTACCTTCTGTGCAATCGGAGTATTCAGAGACGAATGGCATACAATGAATTCCTGACATCGATTGTACCGCTGAAATCACACATCACTTAGAACAACTTCTTTATTATATAGTTTTTAGCTCTACGTATCAGATATGCTTTCACTTAATCATAAAGACGTAAATGCAGTACTGAAGCAAATACTACCTATACCTAAGTTCACTTTATATTTAGTACGACATATTTAAGATGCTGGAAAGAAGCATGGGCATGAACATTAACGGTGAGTATATCTCACACTAGAGATTCGCAGATGACATCTTCCTAATGGCGGAGTTTCTGGAGGATTTGCAACAAATGCTGACAGCATAGCATCCGCTCCACGAGAAATTGCTCTCGGCATAAACTTGAATAAAACCAAAGTCATGATCAATTATTACATTGTTCCGAGACCCATTGTAGTAAATGGCCACATTCTTGCAGTTGTTTCCGAATACACTTACCTCAGTCTGATTCAACGATTAGACAGAAACAACTTCGAGAAGGAAGCCAAGAGGACGATTCCGCTTGGCTTTTTTTATTAAAAAATAAGTGCGCATTTGACCTCCATCTCATCTGATGGAAAGTAACGATGAGGTCGACAATGGAGCATGCACACCTAAATAATGCAAACTTTACTCTCTCCTTGAAAAAGCGCAAGTTATACCGTTTTGGGAACAAATCTGCAAGCAAGGAATTTCACCCCACCCGTTCGCTGTATAAATGTGGAAACAAAACGCTTCGTGTGAATCCTTGGAATATCCACAACATAGGGCCTACCAGCCTACGCTTAGTCACCCAATGAAGGGATGGCGAAATTAAATCGTACAATTCCTTCCCACATTCACACTATCGGTATGGATAGATCACGTAATGTCGGAGCAAGGTCAAAGGGACTCCGTTTTGGTGGAGTTAAATTTAACAAGATAGGCATCGCCCCAATTGGACACTGCCTTAAGTGTCAAATCCAAGCGACTAACAATGAACTCTCGACAACACTGGATTTCTTCACCATTGTCCCTTATATAAGTACAAGTACTTATTTAGAAATATGCTGTCATCAGCAGAAAGGAAGCTTGGCTGTGAAGCGTTTGGTAAATTACGTCGGGTTTTCTGGTCACCCATTGCACAAAGTTTGAAAACAAAAGTTTTCTATTAGTGCGCTCTACCCGGTATGACTTACACAGCCGAGATGTGGACACTCACGATACGGCTAGTCCACCAGTCCACCAAAAGTCACTCGGCGAGACAAGGACGCGCGAAAAATGCTCGCAGTTTCTCTGAAGGATAAGTATCGAAATGAGGTTATTACACAGATAACTAAGGCCGTCAACATGTCTGGTAGAATAAGCAAGTTGAAGAACCAATAACCGATGGGGGAAACGAGTTCTTGATTGAAGACCACGGCTCGGTAGATGTAGTGTAGGACGCCCTCTGGTCAGATAGATTGACGATCAGCATAAAGCTGCTGGAAGCAGATGGATGCGATATTTTGTGGACCAGGCGAAATGGCGCACATTAAGAGACGCCTATGTCCTGTTATTTCAAATTTCACAATTGGACGAGTTTCTAAAGACAGTCCGATTAAGGACTGATTTCCACAATTTTAATAGGTATCCTTAAATTTTAGTTACCTTAGGCCTACTTCGTATACGGACATTTCATTCTCTCTCTTACGGGGAGAGGTTGTGAGCTCACCATATTGGTCCAAAACGGGTTGAGGAATTAGTATCTTCGAAACTCAGAGAATTAATGACGTTGTGATTTCTTTTGAAAAATAAAGAACTAACTGCGTCAGTACTGCATTAGCGTCTAAATTTTTTTTAATAAACTTGTTTAAATTTTTGGTTTCTAGATGAACATGAATTTCACAATAATAATTTAAAATGGCTTACACAATCATTTAAATGGAATTTTGAAAGAAAAAGGCAATTCAATTCCATCAGCACTTTCCCTTAGATTACAAACGAAAGAATCAAAAACAACCCTACAATATTAAGTTTAGTTATTTTAGGTATTAGTCTTCTAATAACTAAAATTTATTAACTAAGGTTAAACGTAAGTTAGTTAAAACGTGCAAATCAATTGTGCGGTCGAAGCAGCTGAGTTTTTTGTGCGACAAAGTGAATTTGAGTGTTTAAATTGTTATATTATCAATTGATGAAAAACATAAGAAAGAGACATGTTTAGAAACAGATTTAGATTTTTTGTAACAAAAAGTGCAAATTTCGGATAGAATCACAATTCAAATTCTTAAAAAACACACTTTAATAAATTAAACATAAAGGTATAAAAATACAAAAAATACTTGACACTTTTACACTATTCACTTTAAATAATAATTTCGGTTATGTACCAATTCACAATCTCTTTTTACCAAGCACATCTGTGTGGCTGTGTTCCCTTGTAGCTCATCATTTGTCGGATTTCACAAAATAATTAGTGCCTTCCTAACCTTATGAATGTCATGCTACAAATCGTAATTTCTTAGGCAGACGGGTTTTAATTTTTCACTTTTGAATGATTTCTTTCTTTTTGATTTGGTTTTCATTGTCAAGATTCACTAGACATTTCCGTTTTAAGTTTTCCTACTCTTAACTTTCTATTTACTAATCTTTTCGCCTCTGCTTATCTTCCAACCTTTTTTTTTTTTGGTTACTTGTCATTGTTGACGATGAAGTCTTCATAATCGCCCCTAGGACTGCCGTTAAGCAGATTTTCTCTGGGCACTTTTCTCTTCATGTTCGATATGACTCTGTTGCGTATCATGTTGTGCATCGATCGCCGATGTCCAGACGGATGGTCGCAGCAGAGCGTATCGCCTCCTGCAACCAAGCACACCAATCTCACAAACTGCCAAAACAAACACCTTGAACATATAAGGACAATAAATGGGAAAGACGCATTAACGGCATTAAAAATTCTAAGGACACAAATTTACGTCAATTTAGCAAGATTGGTTGCAAAAGGCGATGCGGTAATACACCCCGCAGTTTTGCACAATATACAAATAAAACATTCACTTAATACACAACACCTAAATGACAAAAAATATGTACCTGACTTTGGAAAATGTGCACATAGATAGAATCGAAGCGGACTCAAGCCAGCCAGACCAGACCCAGAATCAAACCTCACAGCATAGCCTACCGTTGTCCAATACGTCAATAAAATCATAAATTGCGTTGTCCATAGTTCTGCGCATCCTCCACGACAGTAGTCTGTTGTAAGATGGTCGGTCCTGTTTGAAGATGTGTGTGTAGTAATTCCTCATGGCGTTTGGTTCTCTTAAGAAGCGTATGTAGTCGCAGAACCACATGGAGCGCGGTATACAAGCGACGTCACGCCCCGAAGTAGAGCAAACGCAGAAGAAGCAAGTGTTATTCGCTTTGTAGTCGAGCAGCGATTCAATTTCCTCGGGCTTGTCAATGTCGGTGTCGTTCGCCTTCGGATCATTTGTGTAGTAGGAATGGCCGCGCATACACTTTGCTTTCGGTTCGTAAGGTATTTCGTCATCGTGCCAGAGATAATCTAGACGATTTAAATAATTTAATTAGGTCTGAATATAATGTTTGTTTCTTAAATAATACAAGGTGCTGACTCAGTATTATTATAAGTAGTGATCCGAAATGAGGAAGTAAATTTGCCTAAAGTATGAACGTTTTCTTAGTATGGGCATACTCATTTCATAATACGACCAAAAAAGTCCCGGTATTCATATTACAATATGTTAAATACAAACAAATATGTTATATAAAAGTTTTTTCGTGTTTATTTTCTAAATATTCCAAAATACACGTTGTCTAATGTTTATTTTTTAAATGGCTAAAGTATTTAAATGCGTTATTACCTGTACAAACACAATACAATATTATTTTTGAGACAATATTTTGTAGCTAATACTTAATAGAAAATAATAATTTGTTGCCAATATACTCAAATTTCAATAAATAATATGCATATTACCCGGAATTTCTCGGAACCGATTCCGAGAAATTCCGGGATTTGTAAAAGGGAATGTCCGCGTTATTCTTTAGTTTAGTTAAATTAACTCCCTCAATTCCATTCACTGTAAAAACTTACAATCCTAAATTAGTTCATAAGGCGAAAAATATGTGCCCTATTCCTAAAACGACGCGATATATCGATAATTACCTTTTATGTATTTATATATGTACAAAAAACTCAGCTATCGCCCGCACTACACAAACCTTGGTTCTTGAATGCTGACCCTCCTTGTCCACGCCGTATTCTGTACGCTAATACTTTTGTAACGTCGAATGGAACATTTTTCTGATAGTTTTCCATAATATCGGCCATTCTAAGACACTCGTTAACATTCATAGCTGGTCTTCGAGAACAATATTCGTCTTTTCCCTCAACTGAGCAAACGCACACCTTGCAGGACTCGTCTTTTTGGGCTTGGAAATTCATGTGAGACCTTCTCGTAACTCCCTTTTTTAGCATGTTATCTCGAACTACGTCGTTCTCGTCAAAGGCTTCGACTTCGTTCCCTTCATCTTCAGTGACATCAGCATCTCTATCATCTCCTCTATCTTCATTTCTGTTTTCACCTTCACCGTTACTTTTATCTTTAGTTTCATCACCCGCAGATATGTGTCCGTCAGCTTCAGTTACCGTATCGCCTCCTATACGATTGTCGTTTTCAATCTTCCTGTCTAGCTTCTGTTCCTCAGAACTTTCACCAGAATCTTGCTCCACGTTTTTGAGAAGTTCATTTCCGAAGCCTAAGTCTTCGAGTTTAAGCACAGTACGTCCAGGCAGACATTTAAGACCCAAGGATGCAAGCTTATCTTCTGTAGGTGTTATACGATTTTCATTGAAGTCTACAAAATTTATACTAATTTGTACTTTGCATGGATATATTTTTCCTATATCTAACCATATACCAATATTGTGGCTTGTTTGTGAACTAAAGTGAGTATTAGAATCATTTATGTGACTATCGAATTATTACTATACCTACTCGTAGGCGTCGCAATTTTGCTTACAATATAAGAAGACGCAGTTAAATTATTCAAAATGGTATAATATTACGCATTTATCTATAAAATTTGATCACTAAATTTAATTTAAATAATAATAACGCACACACTCACAGCTCCGTCACTCAGAAACCCTGTGCCGCGGATGCCATGGACACATACATAGAAAACCACAAATTACACCCAAACTCACGAGATAGTTAAATGAGGGTCAAACGAATATGTTTCCCAGCCCGGGAATCGAACCCGGGACCTCTGCGTGGCAGTCCAGGCTGGTCACCGTTTGGCCACACAGTCAGTTATAAATTTTTTCAGAATTTTTATTGCATTTATCACTAAAATATTTATCAAAAAAATCTTCCCTTGCAATTCTTCTCAACCATATTTCAAGTTACATTAACGGGATTTCATCTTACAACTAACAGGGACGCAGGCCTCAACCACTTCTTTAAAATACAACCCACCTTCATTAAAATGCAGATGTGGTCTCGGCAAGACGCTAATAACTTCACTCTCTTTGCTCCAGGTCAGTGGATTACTGGGTCTGATGTCAATCTCCCGAGAGTCGGAGCCCTCGATTAATATGGCTGAGGCTCTAAATAATAAAGACTGAGACTCACCAGCGAATGTTTGGTGGACTGCGTACAGCAATCCCACGATAAGGAGCAGAGCCAGCTTGCTTTCCATGGTGCGAGTCGTGTAGAGGTACCGCACACGCACTTTATATGTGTTCTGCATCGTTAGACTTTTCCATTCTTCATTTCTTATTAAGATAGGGACGGATTTGGAAATTAAACAGTCAAGTAGAAAAAAAATATTCTGCACTAAAATTGTTCATTTTATTATTGCTTAAGTGCTGCAACGATACCTCTTGTTACTTGTTATAATGGCACTTCACAGGGATACTTGTGTTCGCTATTGGGTGTTTAATGTACCTGGAAAAATATTTGACGGACGGACAAATATGACCATTTACGCGTGGCGCCAAATAAGGAGTTAAAACAATATACGTGACCACGGTGCGGGCGGTATACTTGGGTATTTGCTTGGCTTCTTCGATGTGCGCCGAGAAACCGACCCGCACGCGTTAACGCGAGTTTGGTGTTTGATGTATTTGGCGAACAGGCAAATACTTTGTCACACATGATGATTGTTTGTCAAATGTATCAAGTACGCAAATACAAATAGCGATGTGAAGTGCCACCATTACATTGCCATCCTATACTAATGATCTAAAGAGCTCTTCATGCAAGACAAGGTGACGTTAAGGCGAGGTATTTCAAAGAGAACCTAGCTTTTAGGAGGTGAGGTGTGGGGGCTGCTCCTCGCGTGTGTCCGCGATCCGCGCGGTGTAAATTAATAAGCACGCGGATAAAATTTGACACAGATTCAACATACGAATGGTTAAAAGATAAAGTATTTTAGTATTAAGATTTTTTTTCAATAATTGTATTTAGGAAATGAAACTATTTGTCCAGATTTAAAACGCGTATATTTGTTTTTTCAAACAAACCGACGTTTCGGGCCCTTTACAGGTCCCATGGTCACGGTTGACTGACACGGTTTGTTTGAAAAAACAAATATACGCGATTTAAATTCGGAAAAATAGTTTCATTTCCTATGTGTGTAACAATCGCGAAAACCTAAGAACTCAATAATTGTATTGTTATATAAATGAATTTAAATTAATTTAAGTACATTTGGCTATTATTACTGACATATTACAATGTTAAAGTAAGTAATTAATTATACTTAGAATTTAATGTAAACCATTATGTTTAATAATAAGTGAGTGCCCTCTCTACTTTGCTGTGCCCTTACAGGGTGTCACATGTACACTTACAAACCACTGTACGTAAATTATTAATAAGTGTGACAATGCAATAAATAAATAAATAAATAATGTAGTCATGTTACGAGCAATTTTTTCGCATGCCTACAATATTTTCTGGCGTAACATATTTGTTCCTATTTTACTATTTGTTATCTTGACCATGTTTCTAGCAAATAAAAGATTTGAATAGATTTTATTAATCTGCTAGGCAATTTGCAAATTTTGGGATAAATGTTAATTCAATAAATAGGACTTCAGTTGAAAAAGAAAATGAAGCAGGATCTCTGTAGCACTTAAAGAAAAATATCTCGAAAATTTTATTTGTACATAATTTAGATGTTTTATTCTTAAATAATTCGTATAGATTTTAGCCTGTTTTCAGGTTTTTATATGAGCGGATAGAGCAAATTCTATCGGGTAACAAATTATGTTCTTTAAACCCTTAAGTGTATCGTATATTTTTACGAGACCGTTATTTAATAATAAATACCTAAACCATTTGATCTAGCAAAACAGGTATTGCAGCTTCTCCCCGACCGAAATAATGTAGTAGACGCTAAGAATTTTTGAAATTACTACATTATTATTTCCTAGTACGGCTCTGCGGTCCACAATGCAGTCGAAAATAAGACGAATGGTCGTAAACCTTATCAGCACCGGCGCACCTGCTCCATCGCAGATGGGCGTTCGAAATTCAAGATATCTAAGTTGTCTATATACATCTACAACTATATACCATATACCACGGTACCTAAAGATACAAACCTTATATTGGAAAGGAACAAATCTCTGCAGTCGTAAATTCATTATTTTTTACCACATTTGTGACAATCCACTTCTGTATTTCCAAAAAAAAAAAGAAATAGGTTGGGTGCATTATAAATGTTGGTGGTAAAATTAAATTGGAGAACTTAATCCTATTTAGTCTTAAAAATAAAAGTATGCAAATTGATACCTCCTTACGTAGGAGGTATTGTAAGCCTAGTGTTGTAGGCCACAAAAATTGCATTTTTTAGTTTTTAATTTAAATATATTTTATGTAAAATATAGGTTTCATGTTTAAAAGTACAGAAACATTTAGAACGCCTCAGAGATGGCGGCTCCACGAAAACATTTACTTACACAAAGATCACATACACAAAGAAAAATTCCTTAAAACCAGTAAAACCCAAAAAGTAAAGTATGCCGACTCGTTCCGTGGCTCAGTTGGGAGAGCAGTAGCTCCGGTTTGGCATACTGTCGCTGGTTCATTCGGATCGAAGGGATTTGTCTACGCGTTTGTGAAAGTTTTCTGATTTAACAAACGATGTTCCATTTGACGTATTTACAGAAATTCTGGGTAATCAACAAGGCTATGGATCACAAATAATGAATAAGAAATTGAAGAGAGAGAATGAAGGATTGCGAGAAGACATTCCCTTTATACAATACATGAATGAAATTAATCTTAGAGATTTTAGTATTCTAAATATTCGGGCACTTTAAAATAAAAAATAATAATAAAAGACAGTGTAACAAAAATATTTATTATTTTACGCTTTCTATTGCGTGTTTGTGACATTGTTTTTAAATTTATACGTAATTGTAATACTCGATATCGTTTAACGTCATCAATATACACAATTTTAATGCCTTAATTTATAAATTCCTAAACACGTAATTCACGTTTTTTTATAATAATAGATGTAGAATAATTGTAAAACACATTTTGGCAGTGATTTTTACAAAAATATCCAAGTCTTTACATGCATAAGTACTGCAAATTATTGACCTTTATTTTATTTATACTTTCTTTATACTTGAGAGAAGACCACTTAAGAAATGAAAATAATTTTGGATCCTACAACCTTAGAATAATAACGCATAGAATGATAGTTTCATATCAAACGAACTGTCAGAAGTGAGGCAAAAAGCAAATTCATGTAGGCTAGTTTTAGTAGCAGGTTAATTTTCGGTTTTAGTGAATATTTATATGAAAATACCAGTTGAAACGCATTACTTCCTTGTGGAATGTGATGTTAGTATCTATTTTATGTTCATCTGACGTATTTTTGCACTCATTTACCGCACATTTCGTCATTTTTACCTAAAATTCTGGAGCTGTTCGCGGTGCAAGTTGGCCTTGAGCACTGAAGACCCGCCCGCTTGTGTAGGCCCTTTGGGAGCGCTTCAATTTGCCTCACTCAGCGTGTGCGGACTAGGTTTCTATGCGTTATTATTCTAAGCCTACAACACCATAAGACGAGACTACGCACAAACAAACCTCAAAGAAAAAATAAAATGTCGGAATGATAATTATACAGTCTTGACGATCCATACTAATATTATAAATGCGAAAGTAACTCTGTCTCCTTCACGCCAAAACTTCTGAACCAATATTAATGAATTTTGAAACAAAAAGATATATGGGACCTAAGAGAAGGACATAGGCTACTTTTTGTTACGAAAGTGAATCGAAAGGTGCTGAAATGGGGTATGTAGGTGCGTATGGGGAATCAATAAAATTATGAAAACTAGTTTAGTACAGTAGGCTACTCGTAGCGCTTAATATTCCGCAGACAAAGTCGCGGGCATCAGCTAGTATAATAGAGAATCAGCTAGTATTATATATAAGGAAATATAAAGATACCGAAAAACAAATAAAAAAAATAAGATAAAGGCCAATTGTAATTAGAGGTAGGCGTTCAAACGAAAAGCACTTAGAAAAGTATGCTTTTTAAAATAAACACATAACACGCTTTTCATTTTAAGCGTAAGCGTTGGTCAGTTCAATACTCAAACATTTGAATTTTTTACAACGTCCCGACATCTGTGTTTCCTAAACAAACTAATACGTCAATGTGAATAATATTTTTACACAAAAAAAAAATAAAACTCGTGTTTTACTAACAGACTTACTTATCTTAAAACCTGTAGTGGTCTACTCTTGCTTTTCTCTATCAACACAACGTTGCAAGCTTTTTTAAGACAAAAGTATGAGCTTAAAACGTTTTTCTAAACGATTTTTTACGCTTCAAACTAAAAATCGTATAAGTAAAAGCGTTTAAAAAAGCACAATGTTTTAACGTTTCAAAAAATAATCAGTAAGTTTTTCCCGTCTAATTGTAATACTATACTTCGTTTCAAACCATTTTGAACAAAAAGTAATGAAACAAGTCAGTGACCCGACCTTAGATGGTTTAGTGACGGCCCATTGTAATGCCAACTACAAATCGATTAATTAATTGAATTAATCGATTTGTTCAATTGAGTCATACTAGCGGTTTTCCTTACATAACCTATCTAAGCATATTTAAAATTTCCGAAGTCTTAATTTTAAATCTTTCTTTCTTTTTTCGTACAGCACTATACAACCATAGACAAGTCATAGTTGTATAGTTGAAAAATATCCTCACTTTTGGACAACCATTTTTCAAATACGATTTTACCATGCTATTTAAATGAATATTCTTGTAAAAAGTGATGAGATATCAAGTCGAAATTTCGAAATATACGTGAAAGTGTTGTTTATTCGATTCATTGAGTGATTGCTTTAGAATTTTAGCCTAACAGTTTTGTTTACTTTTTGTTCAAAATGAATTGGAACAAACTTTACCAGAGGGTAGTATTACAATTGCGCCAGCTTGCGAGCTGCACACGTGTATTACGTAGTGCGATCTGTTCGCGTACCACTCGCGCGGAGGAACAGGACTTTTGAGGAGTTCCTATCATATAATTTTATTATATCCTATTCTATTATTTTCAATTGAATCACGTCTACGTGAAACGTGGCCATTTTATTTCCTTCAGAGTGAAGCGCCTGTAAATTTATTATTGTTTTAAAAGTAAAAGACATGCTTATGACAGTTACGAAATGTTTAATGATAAAAAAAAATAAAAAGAACTGAAATTGTTTCATGAATCAAAAATTTCAAAAAAGAACTAATCTTGTGTAATCGGGTGCGCGATATCTGGTTGGCTGGTTTTATATATTTTTCGCTTTCGCGCCATTTTTAAAAATTTATCGATACGTGTGTTCGTTTTGTGAAAGAAACACACGATGCCTAAAAACGGGACTGACCCGCTCAAAGCGGGACGTATGGTCACGTTATCTATGTGCCAAGTTTTATTGAACCCAGTTAACGGAAGGTCGGTGAAATTTAATAAACCGCATTAATCCCCTAACTCGCCACTCTTAGAGATGGAATATTATCTTCAATTTTACCCCCTTTCCAACAAAAAAAGACTCATTGAAATCGGCTCACAAATGTCGGAGCAATTGCATAACATGCACACAAAAAAGTACAGAATTGAGAATCTCCTCCTTTTTAGAAGGCAGTTAAAAAAATCAAATGCCTTTATCACTAGTATTGTTTCCTCCTATCATCATTTCCATTAACAAACTGCCACAACCTGTTCATTATTTACTTGTCTATGTTAGCCGACGACACGACGTTAGAATATTAGAAACCAATAACGGAGAAACCTATAGATAAAAACTTGGATTGCAGTTAGCTACAGTAAACCTTGTATACTCCGTCTCACCATTTATTTAACTTTTGACATAATCATATGCATACTTCCGAAGTTCCATAATTATTGGCATACTACCATAGACAAAAAATGCAATACTTCCTGGACTCTTATATTTTTTAATTTTAGTGAAGAGACGTGCTCTTTAGCTCCAATATTTATCGAGCCAAAAGATTTTGTAACGAAGATTATTCAAGTTGATAAATTTTGGTACCTTGTCGAAATGAAACTATTTTTCCGGATTTTGGTACCTGTCTAATAAATTAAATAAATTATAAATAATTACAATAAATTCTTATTGTTTGTTATAATGAAGCGTCGGATTCTTTTCCATATGAAGGGGAATCATCACCCGAATCCTCATTGACATTAATTATTAATTCTTGAGTAAACAAATTGTCAGACACAACATCACGATCTCAATCAGACAACAATTATCTTCTTTTTTGAATCCACTCACATTCACTATTAAAACTTGTACATAAATAAAATCGATTGTTATAAAAAATCGAATCGGAAACGCATTAGGACATCACTAAAGGAGTAGAATTCGAGCTGTCAAAAGTTAAATAAATGATTGGACGGAGTATAGTTATTCTACGAAACTGACACTGGCCCAAGCCTAGTGGCCGCCATTAAGGAAATAATAATAGTAAGAGGCACTTTGCCGTATGGTGTTATTACTCGGCAAAACTTAGTCAAGGCGTTCACTCTACAAGAAACGTTCTTTACGCATAATCTTTTGCAAACCTAATAGAATAGAAAACGTTTATTTGCCAGAATACAGTAAATATACAGATCTTAAATTAATTTAGGTACAATGTATACAACCTGCAAGCAGGTGTGCAAATGTAACGGAATGTATTGTGTCTTGTGTATGCTTAATTGCATGTTAATGTAATGTTAATTAGTATTTGTAAATTCGAAATATTCTTTATTACTATTTCTACAGTAATGTGTTAAAAGCCATCTTGTAAAAATCTCTAATTTTCTTAAATCCACTGGTCATTGCACTGGACATTCCATTAAGACTCCAGTGAGATTATATAGCAATTAAGATAATATTTGTAATTCTGCTAATATCTAGTTGCAATGGCAGTTGAGTCTGAATAGAGTGTCAGTTGAATGGCATTCATTTATTCAATCATTAACGATTGATGATGTCTTAAAATAAATCTACTATGAAAATATCTTCAAATTAAATGCGTTTTCTTTATATTAAATAAATTAGTAGACTACGTACCATCGAGTCGCCATTGAAGAGCCCAAAAAATGGCAATGACAGTTGGATAGAAGCTCAAGGACTAGCCATTGACAAGCCACTCCACTATTAACTTTTAACCGGAAATAGAGACGAAATGTCATTTGTTTGAAAACTATTCTGCCAAATCATTACGGTGAGAATTGCGCTCCGATTGGACAGCCCAAATTCGAAACAATTGACGGGTATCGTCAATTGTTTCACTTCAAATCGACTAATTTAACTTGAGCTTTGCTATAATGAACGAAAATTTAAAAATGACATATTTAATATTAAATTACCGATGAAATGTGATTCCGCTTGTTTTGTATTTAGAAGTTTTGCTGTTTTTCCCACACCACAGATAATTTTTGGAATATACGGAGACGTACACGTAAGTTGTTGACGCTGTACTATTCCAGCTTAATTTGTGATTTCGGCGCAAACGAGAATTGATATTTATAAATGACATAAGGCCCATTTGCCTGATGACTTGCCAGGGATGGATGGCCCTTAATTCGTCCCTATTTGTGGTTATATACTCGATGAGAATACCAAACGTACAAAATCCTGCCATTGGCACTCTTTCGACACAGAACTCAGATGATTTAAAATTTGCAGACTTGGGCCCTTCTTATATAAAGTTATACGTAACACCGGTACTCACATTTATATCCATATTCATCTTTATTTGCTTGCCAAATGATTTTACAAAGATCTTACAAAATATATTGTACCAATTCGTACTCACAACAAATGCTTATAATTTTAATTCCTGTAAATCTGCCAGTATTTTGGACCCCTTTATTCTAGCCTTGGTCCAATATAGGTCACTCATATATTTTATTCTTTGAGTAAAGAACTTCCAACGAATTTTGATCTTCTCTCTTCGTCTTATCGACCCTTCGTCTTACCCGTTAAGTAAAAGCAATAAAAATAAGACAACGGGCTCATAGTTCTAATCACTTTGCACAATGAACGCTATCTTTATCTCCCTGATTGTTTCTTTTTGAAAATCTTTCTCATATTCTTCTTATTCGGCTTAGACGTCTCATTCCACGACGCGTCTCATTTAAGATCAACTGGGCTAAAATAGAGCTCATTCAATATAATCTTTCCGTTATCATCTTTTTTCCTTCCCTTTATATCTTTCGCTTCATTTCCCCCTTTTGTTTTGTTATTGGTTTGCCATCCATAATTTAATTAAAAATTCAATACCAAAAAACAAACCTATCCAGGTATCGTTCATAGAATCCACAAACGTTTTTATCATACTCATAAATTTTACCAATATCCTCAACTTTCCAATAAATTTTAACAATTTCATTAGCAGTTAAACTATGAATACTTGCTTGCCTGAAATAGGCGCACCCAAACCATGAAACCCATGGTTTGAAGGGACACAGCCTACTGTCATGAGTCAAGTTGTACCGGAGAGTAACGTTGGCGACTGAATACGTAAAGTAAACGTCTTCTAAATTGTATAAGGGTACTTTGTAGGCGCCTTCTAAGAGCTTTGATATGTGGTCACCTGAAAATGAAAAAAAAAAGAAAGTTCAGGATCAAGTGCACGTCAAGTTCGACACTTAGGATTTAAATCCAACTCTATGCCGCTTACGATAAGAACGGTCCAAAGTACAACTGTACAATTTTTTAATGTCAACTGAACTAAACAACACATACAGTATACGACACATGTTTTTCAAATGGTTTTAAATTCGTTTTTGACCCAAACACAATGAACAGTACAGGAAAATTTTAATTCAAGCTGAAGTAATATCGACTGTTAAGGGCAGAAATGGCTATTGAGAGTTGAAAACAGACTTATGAAATTGTAAAGATTCACTAAAGAGACAAAGATTCAGCTCATACAGTAAACACAGGTGATAGGACCTTGTGGTGGTGGAGGATGTCTTCTTTTGCATTCACAGTGAATCATTCACTTCCCGAATTGATGGATCTGTACGTACCATGTATGAGATACCCCGGACCAGTAAGGTACCTCGGCACAATATCTTCCCATTGGAGCCACCGTGGTAGGTACCACTTATTATACTCGTCACGGTGTACACTTGATTTGTTCACCATGTAGCCTGGAACGTAGATATATAAAAAATAATAATATTTTGTTTTATAAAATCAACTACTTTACATTAGGACTAAACTCTCGTTTCCTAGCTAAGAAACTAAACACTCTAGCATTGCAGATAAACTCCGATTTGCTTACCAGTAAAATCTACTCACGGCTCGGTTAGGACTGGATTTTGATCTGATATCGCAAATACACATACGTTTCTTACAAGTATGTACTGCAGCTGAGCTGAAGGTAACTGCCAGTCTTCGCAGTCCTTGTCAAACTTTTACAATCACAAATGTCTATAATATACGGAAAACAATCCAGATTCTCACCAGCCAATTCAGTATGAGCATTGTCAATCAAAACCTCCTTCAGCCTCCAAGGATTGATCACCACGTCATCGTCAGTTTTATACAGAAACCTGGCTTCAGGACACCTCTGCGAGGTCCACTGCAACATCAGGGCCGTTTTCAAAGTCAGATTCTGGTAGTGCTCCAAGAAGTCATAAACAATTAAGTCTCTGTACTCTTTTGCTTCTATGTAGTTGTTTGTCTAAGGAATTAAAAAAAAACGAAATCCTAATTTGTCTTGTTTTCAGTTTTGCAATGTACAGGTCAGAAAAACTAATTATTGCGAAAATAACTACAAAGTTACCTAACCAGCTAGCTAAAAAGCTGTTCCAGTTAAAAACCTGAACTCATGGTAACAATTAAAATTATTTTAAAGTCGTCAATTACCTAAAATTTCTTTTGTGTAATGTAGTATTACCTTATTGTTACAACCTGTATACAAGATAAATGTCTAGTACAATGGATAAATTAATGTGAATCCTCTATTACTCCATATTCTATATGAGTCAACAAGAAGTACCATAACTTTTCTACAACAGTTAAAACTTGCTTACCAATTCCTCATTTATCTGCGGACCATCCAGCCCCATAAGGAAGTAAGTAGGAATCCGTTTACCCCAGGTTCGTCTGATAGCCTCCCGGTGACTCCATCTGGTGGGGGCGCTGGCTGCCAGCACTATCACAGGAATGTCTTCTAAACATGGCTCTAATGATGGTTCGATGAGTAGCTCACTTGAGATAGAAAATGTGTGTTTGGTGAATGATTTAAATCAAAGTTTTCTGAAACTTCAAGTCTTAAGCGTTCTCGTCAAATCTTCCTAACTTCTTCTGAAATGCATCCTACACATATACGCACAGAACAATAAATACAGTGGAAATGCTTAGTTTGTGTTGCACGTGTGCCAACAGTACGCGGAGTTCCACAAACTTATTATGCTCAGGCCGCCATTTTCGCTGTGTACATTATTGACGTGTCAATTTTTTTAATTTCTTACTTCTTTTAAATTAGAAACTACGACCAATTATCGTCAATCATTATCATTATTAAGATTTAATAGTATTTCAAATTATGAAATATTTTGGCGACAGCGACCGAGGCTGAACGTACTTCCTTTGTTTTTTTTTTCTTCCGTGCATATACGAGCATATTCATTTCATAAAACTATGCATTTGTTATTTAGGTACTAATTTCGTTTCGGAAATTTATTTTTTTCAATTCCGTACCTGAGAAGCATTACACTGTAAGTGCTATTTTTGTAATTTTATAGGGGACGCGATTTTGTGTCGAAATGCAGCATTTACAACATTTAGAATGCTTGAAATAAAACTAATTGAGTTTCAATAACATTTCGAGCTACCCTAATTGTCGTACGAACTGCTTTTCGACACAAAATCGCTTCACCTGTAAAATTACAAAAATGGCGCTTACAGTGTCATGCTCCTCAGGTACGGAATTATAATTTGGAATGAAAATTGCTTCAGAGAGCAAAGATTCCAACGACACGTTCCACTTGAAATTGGCACGTTTTTTCTAGAGATATTCCTCCTTCACATATAAAACGCAGACGTATGTTGAAATAGCTAGCATATGTTTCTTCTGAGCGCCGGTAGATGGCGTTACTCGTACTCTGTATCGCACCACTGCTGTGTGTGTGATCTTTTTTTTGTGTAGTAATAGTGCCGTAGGTACATCACAAAGCAGCAAATGTACAATAAGCGATACTTTTTAAATTTTTTACATTACCACTTGTAGATAATTACACGAAATCTGTGTATATATAACCTTTTAATTTTTAGTATAAATGTATAAAAAACGTCAAAGTAAAAAAATAATGAACTACAACATCTATGAGGTTACAGTTGGAAAATATAATGTATACCTACATGTTATCCAAATAGTACTCCAAACTCCGACTCCTGATAAAGTGCGTCAGGTCCCGCTCAGGTGGCGGCGGCGGAAGCAACGCTAAGCTGGTGACCCTGGACAAGCGCCTGTTCAACGTCAGCACCAAAATAGTCCATAATGCGAAAGCCAGCAAGAGGACGTTTCTGCGGAGACCTGGAGAATAATTATTTTAAACTTTGTCAAAGATTATTGGCAAGCGGCAGCCTCATAAAAAGGAAGTGGAGCACGTGACGGTTACTGGTCGTGGAACACTACCACTGGTTAAAATATACAACATGTGAAGGTTTAAGGTCAGTAGGAGGTTAATAATATTAAACAACATCACGTACATTGCTCGATCCCAAAGTAAGTAACTCTCTGAGATGGCCATATTATGAAAAGCGGTTTGCAAGGCATGCGACCATGGAGGTCGTCGAATTTGAAGCTTTATGAAGTGCGTCAAACCAGCTCATGATCAGCACCTGATCTGATTTAATCGTGTATACACGAATTTAAAATCAAGAAATGTGTGAAAATCGTGAAGGATAAAATTAGTGTATTTGGAGCATGCCATTCGTCCCACTTTCAAAAAGTCTGCCTTTATACAAGTTTGTAACATTGCAAGTCAATAAAAATGGAAGTAAATTACTTAGTTGGCTACTTCGCGAACCCAGTGGAGGTTAAATCGTGCAAAATAGCTACGCTTGTGTTGAATATTTTTTCATGCAGTTAATTACCCAATATAATATGACCTGCCTAACGTCGTTTGTGGTCTTCCAGTTGGATACCAAGTTGCTTTACGACCTGTACCACGATAGGTATGACTGTAAACTACGTTCCAGAGGTCCAATGAGATCGAACTCCCTATCGCAACGCAAAGCATGTCCACTATTTGCTTCCGATGCGTGTCGCAGAAACTCTTACGCCACTCACATTTCATTCACATTCACAATCGATACGATTGATGAATAGTTAAATTTTTTTGTTTTAATTTAGCTTCTTTCATCTTTCTTTTATCTTTCTTACTGTGTATTTTTGTGTTGTGGCGTTATTATAAATGATTTCTATTCTATTAACTGACTTCAAAAAAAAAGGAGGAGGTTCTTAAATCGACTTATTTAGGTTTTTTTGTGTGTATGTTACTCGATAACTCCGACATTTGTGAACGGATTTCGATGATTCTTTTTTTGTTGGAAAGGGGTACCTCAGTATTGGTTCCATTTTAAATTTGAAGAAAATGTTCCACCTCTCAAAACATCATGAACTTTTAACATTTAAGGCGCATTTATTCCACACGAATAAATGCTCCCGCTCCGCGCTCACGCCGCGTGGTTGCCGCGCGGGGGCCGCGTGCATCTAACTGTCACGGCAAAATGCGCTCTATTCATTAAGCTTTTACGTAGCTTCTCGGGCATGCGGGTGAATCTGGCTTGAATTGTGGTATTATTAACACTAATTTAAATGTTGTTGCCTACTAAATAGAATTCAAATGTACACACGCCAGCACATCAGTCTACACATTGGCGTATCTTGTTCCGTTGCACTGAAGGCGATTTTCGAACAAAAATGTGTAGTCTGGTATGCCGTTATTCGTACATGAAGGCGTGGTAACTGGACGGTCGCCGCGCGGCGGCCTTGCGAATACTTTCTCCTCATGTAACTCAGCGATTAGGATACTTATGTCGAACAATATTACTTGTTTTATGTATAATCATGGAGCAATAACTCAAAAGAACTGCTAATATCTATACTACAGATCATAACATGTCATAACTCTTAACATAATAATAACGCACACCCTCAACTTAGCCCGCACTAGGGAAACCCTGTGTCGCGAGTGCCATGGACACACACATAGACAACCACAAATTACCCCCAAACTCACGAGAGAAATAAATGTAGGCCATACAAATACTTCTCCCAGCCCGGGAATCGAACCTGGGAGCTCTGCTTGGCGGTCCAGCATAGTAACCGTTCGGCCACGGCGGCAGTTAAAGGTCAAAATCACGTCGTGATATCTAGACAACGCTAGATAATCGCCTGGAAGTACTTTATATTATTTAATTTTTATTTGTAATATTATTCAAATATTCACCGTGAGCTAAAATTATTGTCTGAACTTTGACAAATATGCGTATGAATAGATGACATTGTGTGTTACAAACTAATTAATAAATTAACGCTTCCTAATATCGGTAGATGGCGCTAATCCTACACAAAATAAAAGAATAGCCGGCACTACCCTTAAAAATCAGTCCAATAAGCGCCATATAATTGATTTGTTTGATATCACTAGAAATTAAAGTATCTTTGATAAATGGAAGCTCGTCAATGTAAAACGAATAAAATTAGTTACAAAAAAATGGCTTTTTGGTGCTTGTCGCGACATCTGGTGTACCAATTACTAAACACTAGACTACTAGTGTAATGCATGTATGTTGTAATTCTTTTTTCGTCGAACCTTTTATTGGTTCGGTACGTCGTTTATTCTTGATATGCATCACCACTTCTCAGTTTTGTTATAAAACTCATTAAAAATAATAGTTACAAGTTTTAATTTTGTCTTCTGTTTTTTGACCCAAATAAATAAAAAAATAAAAGTAAATCTTACCGTAGAATAGCCTCCGTAGTTTTCGTCGTGTCACTATTGAATACATTTTGCACGTCAGCTGATTTAACTTTAGGAATCGTATTTACTTTTGGGAAATGTTACAATGTACAGTCGCGTGTAGTGAAAAGTGAACGTACACACATTTTCGAATATACACTGTAAATATTAGATATTTCAAAAATAAGTAGGTACGTTGTGTTGTGTTTAAAACCATAAGTATAATCATGACACCATTTTAATAAAGATATAAGTACAATTACTTCAGAGAAAAAGTAAACTACATCTAGCGAAAAATATACATACACTCTCCTGCTTTATTTATATGTATCCATTATATCCATATATTGGATCTTCAGAAGATTTTTGAACACACATACATTACATTACACGCGACTGTACAATGGAATTCCCGTACAATATGTTTAGTTTGTGGAGTAGGTCTGGAAGTCATGGCTATTGTTCTCAGAAATTACTGTTACTTATAGATTTTACATAGTTGTGTTACTTGGTCAAGTGTCGCTATGAAATATTTATGTACATTCGTGAACAAACTGCAAGCACCGAGCTACGATACGCGGGGCGCCGCCACGCCCGTGCGCCCCAGTAGTGACACAAGCGTTACGTGCTTGGTGTAAATTTGGCGTCATTCAAACTTAACTACCGCGTTTGCGTCAAGATTTTTGTCTAGATCTTAGATATATATTTATAAAGTTTAAATTAAAATCTTAACTCAAACGCGGTAATTAAGTTTACACATTTGAAAACTTAGGGCGCGTTCGCAATATGTCGTAACGTTTTATTTATCGTTGGACGACTGTCGCGTCTAGCCTGTTCCCATATCACGCCTATTTGTCGTGACTGTGTTGTGGACGACAATGGTATCTAGCTGTTCCCACTAGATCGTGACGACAATTTATCACGGCACCCGCCTTGTCGTTTGTATGACAAAATCTGCGATTATCTGTCGTTACATTTTTATCGTGACATTTTATTTATCGTCTGACGACTGTCGTTCTAGCTCTTCCCATTGTCATGACAGTGTGTCGTCCTAACGTCAAGTCGTGAATAATCGTGTTTTTATATGTGAATTTAAATGTACAAGACACGACACTTTAAACTGCACGACTATCTGTCGTCACGACATAATGGAAACGCGTCCTTACACTAAAGCCTCTGATTTGTGTATTTTATCAAGTATCAATTCATTACTCTCGCAAATTAAACAATTCTTTCGCACCTACGTTGTTTACTTTATTTTATTTAAACTATTTATATTTAAGCTACGTCGGCTCAACATGTATTTTTCCTCCAACCTCCCGCCGTCATTCAACCTATCAGCCGTCATTTTCATACTCATTATATATATGTACCTTTCAACTATTTTTATCCTTCTGTAAAATTACTAAGCACATAAAAGCAGACTGGTGAAACGTGAAGCCCAAAAGATAAGACAAAAAAATACGCACTAGAGAATGTCATAATATACAATAATGCAACAGCCAGAAGGATTCCGAAGTGACACCGGAAGGGTTCCTTTTTTATTTTTTCATTACTGAACCCTAATAAATTCTTCGTACAAATACGAGATAATAAGTGCCCTATGTTCCGCTCCGACTGCATCTAATTTAAATTCATTCGTTCAGTTCATTCATTATCATCACACACCGTAGCTTTGAAATGGTACTAGAAATATTATTTTTATGTTTTCATGCGGTTATTTTAATATTTTCGTGATCATGTGCATAGTTAGTTTCTTCAGTTGTGTGCTCGTGTATAATGGCTATATAATTTCTCAGTGAGTTACACAATACACCTATTCCGTTTTTAACTGGTCCACATTGTCAAATTGCTTCTTGTGTAATAAATCTTCCACATATACCTGGAAAAAGAAATCGAATGGCGGGAATGCATTAACAATACCATATTATTATTTTTTTATCTTGCATTTACAATGTGGAAGGAAGTAATTCTTCAAGTGGGTACTTATTAGTAAATAATCAAAGCTATCTATGAAAATATGATATTGCAGATTTTTAGAAGCACGTATAGAAATCATAATTAAAATATTACAAAAAAGTATTACAATTTATTTAAATGTAAAATTGGCGTTGCTTTAAATTAAGATACTATGTTATTTATAATGAATTAATCCTTATTATTGACTCTTTCAATCGACATCACAAAAAATACAGGATTGTTTTTCACATTTTGTCGATTCAATTCCCGGATGAGGCAAGAACCTTAAAAAAATCTTTGAATGCAGTACTATTTACTTTTAAAAATAAAACAATATCTCCATTAAGCAAAATATCCTGTCAACAATATTTAAAGTAAGTACCCTCCGTGTCCCATAGCTCTGAAACACCCCGTATTTAAATAAACTTGTTAGTGTTTTAACGCGTTACGAGGATTACGTAAAAATGTATTTATTTATTTAATTATTTATAGCACAGGAAAACACAAATCACATTTAATAAAGCGTAAAACACACACAAATGGTACTGCTTAAAAGAAATCTAAAAGAAATTTCTTCCAGGCCAATATACACGACACAACAATTAAT